AACACGGAGCCTGGCTCTGGCTTTATACCGTTCATGGGTTGAGACTTGATCAGAAGGACTCAGGCCCATGATCAGTACCAAGCAACTGGTCTTTCAAACAGCTGCCTATTGGATGGGGGTCCGCTTGTCTGATTGTAGCTGAGAGTTCTTGCACATCTGGTACTCCAAAGCCTCACTGGTCAGGCTGTTGTACCTCTTGTACCTCAATCTTTAGAGCAGGACTTTACTGTTTCGGTTTGGAAAGCTGAGACAAGGGGTCTGCTGTATGAAACCAAGAGGTCCAAAACAATGCAAATAAACACTCAAGAGTACAGGTACAGGTCCTCAAAGAATTTAGCTGTGAGACATTTGCTTTCCCTCTTCATTTAGAGGCTTCTTGGTCCATTCTGAATACATGGGGGCTCCATGCAACCCTCAAACCACTTAAAAATATTCTGTTTTCCAAGTTGTGCTTTTCAGAATTTGGACACTTTCTCTATGCCTGTCAGCGCCTGATGGTTTCCTTGAAGGGGGAATTTTAAGTTTTCTCTTCCAAGAAAGAAAAATACAGTAAAAAATTAAGACAGTAATCAACATTTCAAAATGTCAGTGTCACTGTCTTGTTTTTCCCTCTCTGATTATTTCCTGTTTTATTCTATAAAGATCCTTGTCCTTGTGTCTCTTGCTGTCTTACTTCCTCCCTTTGTCTCTGTTTCCCTCCTTTTTATTTTTGATTTCCCTCATTCGTCTTCACCTGGATCTTGCCACCACAAATAGTTCTCAGAGTATAAATAGTCTTGTCTTCCCAGTGTCTTGTGCCAGTCTGCCCTGTTCAGCCTCCTGCCTACAAACCTGCTTCTCCTGCTGGAATACCTGTTCTGCCTCCTGATCCACCTGCCAGTTTGACTTCCTGTTTGCGATACCTTGATGTTCACCTGCCAGATTCTCCTTGTGCTCCTCATCTGTGTCTGGTTTGTGCATTTTGTTTTCTATACGCTGTTTGCTTCCTGGGTACCAGCCTGGTTGTCCTTGTGTTTTTCATCAGATGTTGGTTTGCGAGTTAATTTTCTTTAGTCCAGTCTGTGCTTTCATTGTTTTAGGATCAGTTTCTTCACATATAGACTTATTCCGCCTTCTATTACCAGCCACCGTTTGTTCATTTTTCTGTAAGTAAGTCTTGTATTTTTGCTACCACAACCTCCCTGGCATTTGTGTCTGTACTTTCTTGAATACTCTCCGACAGTTTCCCACAATAAAGGATTAGGGGTGTAAAAATCAGGGCTGCAAGGTGCCGCAGTTGGTAGCACTGTTGCCTCGCAGCTAGAAGGTCGCGGTTCTTTCTGTGTGGAGTCTCCATGTTCTCCCCGTGCAGCGTGGGTTCTCTCCGGGTTGTCCGGCTTCCTCCCACAGTCCAGAAACATGTTGAGGTTAATTGGTGATTGTAAATTGTCCGTAGGTGTGAATGTGAGTGTGCTTGGTTGTCTGTCTCTAAGTGTAGCCCTGTGATAGACTGGTTACCTGTCCAGGTGAACCTGCCTTCACCCTGAGTCAGCTGGGATAGACTCCAGCCCCCCATGACCCTAGTGAGGATTGACTGGTGTATAGATGATGGATGGATGGGTGTAAAATCATCTCAAAGAGCATCAGGTAAAAGGGGTCAATCGTAAATTGCCGTATTCATGGGTCTTGTGACTTTCATACAGAGGTTTGCATGTAGTTGTATATTTCAAAGACGCAATGTGTACCCACATGTAGAGCTCAGTCTAAAGCTCAAGTAGGCCTAAGTATCTGTTCTTGCAACCCAGGAGAATCCTTTTTGGGTTTGGGGAGCTGCAATCCAAATGAGTGCCAAACATCCTGCAAACATTTAGGAAGTACCCACAACTTGCTTCATAATAAATTACAGAGAAAACCATTTTTGCACACAAAAGAAGCAAAAGAAGGTATTTAGCTCTCAAATTAAGTCATGTTTGTTTTTTTAGGGGGAACTGTTATCTCTGTTCAAACACACAGACGACCCCAAAGGTGCTGTAAGGGCCTGCCAGGTGCATCAGGTTGCTGATCTTGATTTAAAACACATGTTAATCAGTATGTACTGGTATCGGTGTGTACACGTCACTCATGTGCAGATCTGCAATGACAAGAGGCAAAAGAGGCTCAATCTGGAAGTACTGAGCTACTGACACGATCATTCTGCCCTCAACAATGTTATACAGAGCAGGAAACAGGTCTGACATACAGCACAATACACCGAGCTGTGGCTTTGGAGAGCAAACCTTCTCATAACTGGAGTCCTGGCGCCCCCATGTGGATTAAACAGAAAGCTCAAAGTCTTAAAAGATAGACAGCATCCCTGTCTGCAAAACTTGACTCTAACCAGTGCATCTTTTAAGTGTTTCTAAGTGCTGAGATTAGTCTGTATTCACTTAGTTTGTCGTGATTTGACAAGATCCTGGTTGTGCAGAATCAGATCCTTTTTGTTTATTTATTAATTTACTTATTTAATTATTTTTATAATATACAAAATACAAAGTAAACATTCTTACTTAAATTAACAATAAACTACAGACAAAATCAACCATTAAAAAAAAGCACACAACAAACAATAAGTGTACAAACACCAAACTAAAACACAAAGAAAACCATCAAATGGACATACAGGAATAGATCTTGCACTACGGCTTCTTTCAATTTTTTTTTCTCTTCTTTTTATTTCTCCCCCCAAAAAATCAGTCATCTTTCCTTGTACACACATTTTATATCATCATTAATACAACTTTCCCTATTTTATTGCACATTTCATATTTTGATTATATCTTTATTAATATTATTATTCCCTTGTTTCTCTCTGTATTTTATTCGTTTTTTTTTTAAATTATTCTTTCCTGTTAAGCTTCTAACCTGCCTTTCAACTTCACGTCACTTTTATTTTAAAGAATTCTCAATTTTACATCTAACCATGACCCATGTGCCTGATGCTGATCAGACTGCTGTGAAGCTCCTGTGGTGATGCAAGGCTGTATTTCAGTAACTGATTGGTCGATGTCAGTGATTGGCACCGCCTTAGAATCGAAGAGCCAATAGAATAAAGCAATAGCTGCCTAAAATGAGATTGACAGCACTTTTAGCCAATCAGAATCAGTAGAACGCCATCTTGAAGACGAGCCGCTTGCTGTTCACTCCTTAGCTTCCTTCGGCTAACGAAGCCTCCAAAAGATGCCCGGAATGATTTCAGTGTAACACAGGAAATAGTACTAACTGCTTCCGGTGTGGATTTACCGATAAAATAATCGTTTCATGCCAAAACAGCTAAGGTAAGAGACATTTTACAACTACAGTTTGATGAAGCGGTTTTGGTTTTTGCTGTTCTTTGGGTTGTTTCTCGCTGATGCTTTGATCTCAGAGAGCTTTGATGGACGTGTTTGGAATCTGTGGACTGTCTGCTTCCGTTTGTTGGTGCGTTTTGCATAAAATACCAACACGCTGGAGCCAGAAATGTGGCGAGTGGGTTGACGTGATGGCGCTATATCGATTTCCATATGTGATAATTCATTTAGTTGGTGTTTGAGTTGTGTTTGGGGCATGTAAAGATGGCTTATATGTTCTTGTAGCTCATGTTCTGCTTGTGCAGCATCACTATATTCTTTCATGATGAGCGCATTGTTTCACACTATTTCTTTGTGTGAGGCTTAATTAAGAAAAGGTTATTGAAAAGCATAGGTCAGAGGATGGATACAAAAAAAGTGTGAAGCACGGTGGTGGCAGCATCATGATGTGGGACCATTTTTAGAAAAAGCACCAAAATTAAATCATTTACTCACACATCAATCCCAGGGGTGTCTCTCATTCAGAATCTTATCGTGTACTTAGTTTACTTTTATTGTTAAGTTTTGGTTTTTAAAAAAAAAAAAAAAGACGTAAAAGCAATTTTGTTCATTTAGCATTAATACTATTTTAACCTGTAGTTTTCCTGCTGCTACATATAAAAATGTCTCAAATCAAAGCCTTATATGCCAATACAACCACCACCCAGCAGAAAGTTGTGGTCCTTTTCTGCCACATCAAACAACCACCAGATGTCTCCAAATATTTAGAATTGGTAATTGTATTTAAATTACTTCAATTCGAGAAGGTTCCAACTGCTTGGAACTTCAGTTCATCTTTCTTTTCCAAATTACCGATAATTAAGTTACTCTGAAATGAGTCTGAACACAAAAATGATCCCAAATGCTGAGCCCTGGGAGTTATATTACTTTTATATTCTGTTTATTTGAATTCAGAAAATGTAATTGTGGTAAAAAGGCTGAATATTATGACGTGTATGCAGATTCAGAATTAGGATTCTTGCATGAATCAAAATGGAAGTTTTAGAAATTGTGTGATCTGGTAAAGGAAATCACAGCACAAATTTGATGAGTGTTGTATTAAACACAACATGCCAGCATTGTACGCATGCTGCACGAGACCAGCATGTGGCTGATGTTGACTGGAGCGTTTCTCAGACTACATCTACGCTGTCCAACGAATAAACAATAAACAGCACAGACAAAATTCACGTTACAGGAAATTTATTTTGAACCGAGTCAAACATTTTTCAATTTCTGACAATTCATGTTTGATAGACAAATGTTGCTTTTTGGAATGCATTGAGTGAAAACTTGAAATTATGAACAAGCGCTTTGAACACTCTTCATGAGTTTTATGAACTCACCCTAACAAGTAATCAATGGAATGTTTTTAAGAACATCTGGTAGTTATTCATGTCCTTTTTAATCCTTCTCTCTCATTTTCGCATTTTTAAGACAGCCCACCAACGACTGATATTCAATATATGTTTAGGTTGAATTAATGAAGGACACCCGACTTCATGTCACAGAGAGTTTATTTAGAACATAGCCAAACTTGACATTTTCAGGAGGTTTAATCTGAACAGACAAACTGACAGACACCTGTTTGGAATGCATTCAGGGACTCATTGTAATCAATTATTTCCTGGTTAAATAAAGCCTTCATTTCCCTTTTTAATACTCCTCTCCTTCATCATCCTGCTCACCCTCAATGGAGTCGACTCCCACCTCCTCATAATCCTTCTCCAGAGC